TATATATATATATATATATATATATATATATATATATATATATATACACAGTGACGTGACGGTTAGTCGCCGCGTGGCAGAGCGCCCTGCCGCCGTCACAAGGCGCGGATTCGCGTCCGCGAGCAAGCCAGGAAAGCGACCGCGAAATTTCCAGGGGGCCTACCGAAACTTTAGAATGCGTATCATTTATTCATTTTATTTTATTTTGTATTGTATGAAAATGTGGCATCTCGCCGAGGCACCCCCTTCGGGACCAGGATTGCGGACGCCGGCGACGGGAACGAGATCCACGGCAAGGGACGGAGCGGCGCGAGAATGTCACGAGACCCAGTGAGAAGTCCGACCGCGGGGCGGACACGCACGGCGCGGGTGATCGACGAGAGACCGACAGGGCCGTGATAGGCCCTTTTTCCCCCGAGGAGGCGAGAACTACCTCCAAATCAATCCCGGGACATCCCAGCGGACCCGGGACGCCTGGCCAACGTTCCCTCGGTTCGCGAGGAGACCTTCGGACGAGGGGAGTCGAGCCCGAACACGCTAAACATCGGGCGGAAAAATCTACGGCACCAAGGACGCCTGGGGGCGCAAAACCGCAGGACCACCGCAGGATCCCTGCGACAGCGCGCGCGTAATCCGCGACGCGCTCAGCCCCGATTGGTCACGACACTACGTTTGATTACTGCGCAACCCTCAGGAAGGGGCGCGCTTTCGATTCCACATCGAGCGGATCACCGCTCGATCTCTCCTGGTTCGCCCGCCGACTCGAACAGACGTCTCGCAATTAGAATTCTATCGAGAAAGTTCTCGCGTATTATCGAGCATCCGGATTTCGAGCAAATAGATCATCCCCGGCGCCTGTGACGACGCTTCGGATTTTGCCCGGGAATCAGCTGGACCGGTGAGGTTGCCCTCCACACTAATTGGTGTGTAAACAGCCACGGTGAAGCCGCGTTTCGTCTCGGTGAAGCCGCGTTTCCGACCTGCCGTCCTCGGATGTCGCGTACATGTAGCGATTTTCGGGTTGACATTGGTGCAGATCGTCGGGCGCGACGATTTAGAGTCTCGCGGAATTTCGACTCGCGACCGAGTTTCGTGAGTTCTCGACTTTAGTGTTGGCGGTCGGTGGCGTGCATGGGGAGCCTCGCGACGACACTTCCGTGCGCTGCTAGGATCGGCCTCCTGGGGATCGCGACCGCAGGGTCGCGAGATCGTGGATATCGCGGCATCCGGTCGTAGATAGTTTCGCTTGGCTGTTTACACACCAATTGGTGTGGAGGGCAACCTCACCGGTCCAGCTGATTCCCGGGCAAAATCCGAAGCGTCGTCACAGGCGTATTTGAACTTTTCGCGTAGTTACGAGCGTTAGCAATCTACTCTCGGGGTTCGCGTCGGCGTTCCTTTATCGCGCGAGATGCGAACATTAGTGGAGGCTGCTCCTGCAATGATTGATGGAATGCATAAGAAGTTTTGGGCGGAGGCCGTGAACACAGCTGCGTACACAATAAACAGGACAGGTCCAAGTCCAGTGAAGGGAATAACGCCTTATGAAGTATACCATAAGAGCAGCGTAGTCTTGGAGTTGTTTAGAGATTTCGGATCACAGGTGTCTGTGCATCTACCAAAGGAAAAACGCCTTAAATGGGACCCTAAAATGTCAAAGGTTATCTAACTGGCTACGGAGAAGATACAAAAGGATACCGAATCTACTTCCCGAAGATTAATAAAATAGAGGTACACCGAGATGTAATATTTCTACCGCGGAAGATGGCAGAGCTAGATGAAGAAAAGCAAGAAAAAGAAAGGTTTGAGATTCAAGTTTGTGAGCAGGAAACAGACAGCGAGGATCAAGATGTGATTGAAGAAAATGAAAACAGAGAAAATAAGGAAGAAGAGCAAACGGAGCAAAGTTGTAATGAAGACACAGACGGCAGTTTTAAAGAGGCTCTTGACATCAGTATCCATGAAAGAAGTGAAGAAACGAGGTACAATCTGAGGCAGAAAAGCGACTTGAAGATGCCAGCTCGTTTTGAAGACTTCTATACAAGTTTGTTAGCTACAGAGAAAGATCCCAAAACCTACGACGAGGCAATGTCGAGCGAAAACGCAGAAAAATGGAAAAAGGCTATGGAGGCTGAGGTACAGGCGTTGTTAGAGAACGAAACATGGAAGTGTGTAAAAAGACCCAAAGACAAAGTAAATATTATAGACTGTAAGTGGGTGTTTAGGCGTAAAAGAAATGAAAACGGAGATATAGTTTCTAATAAGGCCAGGCTGGTTGCTAGAGGCTTCCAGCAGTCAAACGTATCCTTTTCAGATATTTACAGTCCTGTAGCAAGGTTATCATCTGTTAGAATGTTAATATTAGCTTTTTGCAACGAATATGACATCCCTATTCATCAGTTAGATGTTTGTAGTGCTTTTTTATATGGGGAAATAGAAGGGGATGTATATATTTCTTTACCAGAGGGATGTGAAAATGTTATAAAAGATAGAGAGTATGTTTTAAAGCTAAACAAATCCTTGTATGGGTTGAAAGGTTCACCAAGAAGTTGGAATGAAAAGTTTCATGAGGTGATGCTAAAATTAGGTTTTATAAGATCAGAGTATGAATATTGTCTTTACATAAGAACACAAGGAAAGTATAAAACTTTTTTGTTGCTGTATATTGATGATCAGCTGTTAGCTTCGAAAGATAGTAAAGATGTAGAGTATGTTAAAAGGATACTAAATAACCATTTTAAAATAAAAGATTTGGGGGCAGTTAGACAATATTTGGCATGTCTATAGCGCAAAATTTAGAAAAAGGGGAAATAATAATAAATCAGACAGCATATTTAGAAAATCTGCTAGTCAAATGTAACATGAAAGACTGCAAAGCTATTTCTACACCAATGGTAGAAAATTTTGATCATAGCGTGCTTAAGGGGATGCTGGAGCCGTAGCTGAACTCGATCGGCGTCGGTAAAGAAGACCGGCGAACTATATCTGTCCTTGTATAGACAAAGATATGGACAAGGATAGCACGCTACATTGCACGCACACATACGCACAATGCACGTCGACATTATACTTTTATATTACGCTTCCAAATCTTGATTTGGAGGGTTTATCGATGTTTTTCTTGTTGTGCAATTCGGGGGAACTTGTTTTCGCGTTCGTACCAATGGTATATCTCTTATATGAAATACATCTTGTGACGAGCTGACAGCTCACCGCAACTCGAGACGCCATATTGGGATAAAAGTAGGATAAGGAAATCTGTACTTCCGTAATTTTTTCTCGTTTTCTATATAAAATCAGAGTTCCCCCGAATCATTAATGTATGTACTGCAATTCTGGAGAAGGATTTTTAATTCTGTCAAATTAATACGACGCTACGTGCCGACAAAAAATGCCGGTAAAACAGACGGCTCCAGCATCCCTTTAAGAGATAAATCAGAGAGTCAGAAAATTGAAAGTAGATGTAAAATGGCTATAGGCTCATTGATGTATGCCATGTTATGTTCACGACCTGACCTATGTTTGTCAATAAGTATTTTGAGTAGGTACCAATCTTGTGCTAGTGAGGATCTGTGGTCAGCGCTCAAGCGGGTGTTGCGCTATATTAAAGGTACCATTAAGTTAAGCCTAGTTTTTAGAAAGAGTGACGCAAGTAATGTTAACAAAATAATCGGTTTTGTTGATGCTGATTGGGCAGGCGACAGGGTAGATTGCAAGTCAACAGGTGGTTATGTATTTAAAGTTTTCAATTGCAGTGTATCATGGACTTCTCGTAAGCAATCAACTATCGCCTTGTCATCGACCGAATCAGAATACGTAGCTTTAAGTTTAGCTACAAGTGAGGCTTGTTTGATAAAAAATTTGTTTTTTGACTTAGAAGGAAAAATGATAACGGTAAAGATATTTGAAGACAATCAGTCTGTGATCAAAGTATGTAAGAATCCTGAGTTTCACCACAAATTGAAGCATGTAGACATTAAGATGCATTTTGTTAGAGATAAAGTGTCCAATAATATAATATCAGTTGAATATATTAGTACTAATGAGCAAATTAGTGATGTACTGACAAAACTTTTGGGCAGAGTCAAGTTTGAAAAGTTTGGCGTCAATACTGATTTTTACATGCAAAACATCCACTATCAACATAAAATAAAATTGTCTTTTAATTAATAACTCGGCGAATTTGGACCGTACAGAAATGAATAAAACACGAAATTGTTCGTAATTTGATTCTCTACAACTTTTATTTTAAGCATTTTTAGATTTGAGAGTCCATTTTCGAGATATTAGCAAAAAATGCGCGACGCGCGTACGCGTTTTCGTTGCGTCGCAAAACTACCGATGTTTAAAAAAATTCTATCTCTGCTCCATTTGGTCGTACAGACTTGAATAAAAAAACGAAATTGTGCGAAATTTTGTAAGCTACAATTTTTATATCTACATAAATTTCCGTAAAGTTGATATTTTCCGAGTTATTTGCGAAAAACTGTTTTTTTTAAGACCTTTTGGACCCTCTCCTGCCCGCAACGTAGCGTCTACTTGTGGGGACTTTTAATATGTTAAATAGTACCCTAAAACAAGCCTGTTTACAAAGTTTCAGCCCAGTCAGTATTATTTCCTCCAAATTTTGTCATTTTACTGGGCTAATATCTCTGTCCTTTAGATCTTGCCTACAAATCACCAATGTTCAGTCTATTATATACGTCTATGATTGCAGGATTTTTAGGTTGCAATAAGACTATCGTCGCTAGACGTTGTTTCTCAAATGTTATTGAACTAGCAATAAATAGGTTAAAAATAGATGATCTTACATTAAGAAACACATAAAAATGTCAGTAAACAAGTTTTTAATAACAGTCAGATTCATTTTTTCGTCAACGTTTTTCACCTTTAACGAGACAATTAATTTATCAAATGTTTGACATTTCTATGGGATGCTCACCCTATCATCAATCATAACTGATATAATTTTACAAGATATAGAAAATAAAGCACTATATAAAATCGGGTTATATCTACTTTTTTATTACAAATACATATGTAGATGATCTTGTACTTGTAACCCTCAAAAATAAGAAAGAAGTAATTGACATTTTCATTTCATATCATATGGCAGACTGCAATTCACATTTGAAATGGAACAAAATCACCGTATAAATTTTATGGATTTTATCATCATCGGAGAAAGAAAAAGTCGCAACAACATTGATTTTTACAATGATTTGAAGTTTAGCATTTAAAATATTTTGAGAACCATTTTTATCAATCATTAAAGTTATTAGAATCTTTTCAGGCAATATACAATATCATAGCAATAAATTGTCACTTATAAATTCTTCACATTTCGTTCTCACTTACCAGCGTTTACAAACGTTCGCCTGATTTCACGTGCGAACAACTCGGCACGATTGTGTGAGAGCGCCGCGACAGTAATCTTTGTAGTAATTCTAATGTCCAGTTGCGATAATTCATCAATTCCGGCATAAGGAAGTGTAACACGAGGCACCGTTGTAGTGTGCCACCAGAGAGGTACGCCAATCCCCAATAATAATACTGCGAACGATACGCTCGCGTACACTCTGTATTTTTCTATAATATAAAATGACATAATATTTCAAAATTATGCGTACAATTACATTATATTAAATATTAAAGTATACAAATATTTTTATGAATAAATTATGTATGTACATTATACATATTATAATAATTTATATGTGTGTATATGTATGCATATGTGTATACTATATTTATGCAGAATGAGTTAAGGATAGGGGTGTAACTTTCTGACAGAAAGTGTGTAATTGTTTTTTTAGGAACGTTGCGTTTCTGGAACGTTCACGTTTCGCGCCTGGTGTTCGTGTGTTGCATTCTATAGAAGGTGTGCGCGTGTCGCCGGAGAATTAGTGTTGTGGTGTGTTCTCGTTGTTCACGTTGAGAGTATCTGCTCGCGTACCGCATAGCGTCTTGCATTTTGCGTGGGCGTCCGTATCCCGTATCCATCGTTCGCGTTAAATATTTGTGAGTGTAATTGCGTTAAACATTGTTGCTATTTTATGTTAAGTGTTGTCGCAGATTCATGTGATCGCGTAGTGATAAGTGTACGATACCTGCTTCCGTCTCGCCGTACCGCCCGGTACTACTTCCTGCACAATGCATCGCCGCGAACCAGCATAGAGCTCGCTCTTTATGCTCACTGAGGGTACAGTATAAGTAAAAACAGTAGGTTCACTCCGTGGAAAATGGTACTAACGGTTGTCTCTCGTGCATGACCGAACTGCATAATCAAGAATACGGCGGCTGTTAAACAGCTGTTCACTGCTGCGGTCCGATTCACGTTTACAGTTTACAGCGTTGTAAGCATCATCGAATACCAAACGAAGATAGAGCGATGCTTTCAGCGCTGTGAGCGCGAATTGAACCGCAGCCCAGCAGTTGTAAGCTGTACGTATTGTAGTTCCATCACATCGGATGTTTCTTTTAAAATTTTGTACATATAACAAAAAATAATAAATTTTTAAATATATAACATATTATAAAAATAATTTGATTCTCATTATATTTTCTTATAATTCTTTCTTGCTTTTTCATATTCATATGTGTATTATCTTTCTTGCTTTTTCATATATTCATATGTTTATTATTTTACATTTCCATTACGTATATTTCTTTTAAATTTGCTAACTATTAATAACCGTCCAGATTAATTCATAAATAATTATATTAAATTGTATTTGAATAGCATTAAATGTTTTATTAATTCTTTTCGTGACAGCTCTTGAAATCATATTTGACAATTAGACATATTAAATATGTTAGACATATTAAACATTTTAACCAGCATCTGTTGTCATTCAAATTATGGCCTGTGCACAATTAACAACATGGCGAGTGTGTAGCCTCTAGATCAAAGGTGCCGCCTCAAAGTGAACCTACTGTTTTTACTACTTATGTGAACCTAGCATCCGACATTAAGAAACAAATTTTTTCAAATATGCATTAAATTAAGCTCGGTTTGTACCACCTTTCTTTTCGTTCGTACATACCTCAAAGGGTTGAGAATAATAAAATAGAGGGTTGGAAAAATTGTAGTACCCCACTTTAAGATATTAAGCCACACAGCACTTTTCATTACAAATATATATTAAGGCTCCTGGGCTCTTTCCCGACGCGACATCTCGTGAGATGTGACGTCAGAAGTGAGAAACGTTGAAATTTGACACGTTGAGAATTCTTGCATGGCATTTCCAAATAAAAAGGTATTTGCATAAAATAACACTTCAGATCACTTTAGCACACTTCGAAAATACTCCGAGTTCAGGTTGGGTCTACCCCTTTCCCTTGACAGTTAATAAATAGCCGTAAAATGAATGTAATACACAACCTAGTTATGCGCCTGCACATAAGCCTGTAACGTTTCACATTCGTTTTACGGATGTTTAATAACTGTCAAGGGAAAGGGATGCAACTCGGAGTATTTTTGAAATGTGCTGAAGTGATTTGTAGTGTTATTTTAAGCAAATATCTTTTTATTTGGAAATACCATGCAAAAATTTTCAACGTGTCATTTCTCGCTTCTGACGTCACATTCCAACATGGCCGCGACAAGAACCCAGAAGGCCAGAAACCTTAAATACGTAACAATATTGCATTTTCATTTCATTTTATTTTATATCAAATATAACGTGTTAAATACGTAATTAACGCAACAGATATGCAATATTAAAATTGAAATACATAGCAAGTATACTGCGCATATATATATAATGTATAAATGTATTAAACACATAGTTGATACATATTTAATAAAATCCCGAGAAAAAATGATCAGATATAATCATATATGTTTATATAAAATCGACATTAGATATAATTATATATAAAAATGGCTCGATATAATCGTATATAATTATATATAACCACATATAATTATATATAACAAAATTAGGCTTTTTTGCGTTTTATTGTATATAAAATATTTATTGGGAAGGGGATTAGATGTAATCATATATAATCATATATGTACATATATAATGAGATTATATATATCTAAATATATATAATCATATATAATCAATAAATATTAAAAAAGAATTCTGTTAACTTCGATTAAGGAATAAAGCATTGATAAATTAAGTGTATATTTTTTCAAAAGCTAGAATCAAAAGTGAAATGATTTACATATAACTTGGCGCTGCTTGGCGTGAGATACTGCCGTGTCTCTTGATACCATTCTTATACCACTGTTTGTCAAATTTTAAATACGAAAAATAAATCCTATCGGATGCCATCTATCCAGATAATCCGAATTCAAGTTTATACATGGTTATATATAATCATATATAATCTACATGGATAAATGTTTAATTCTTATATATTATATACACTTTATATATAAATTATATAAACTTATATATGTATAATCATGTCAAAATGTATGTGAAACTTAGGACGGCAGTGTGGTCTAGTGGTAGAGTGCCAGACTCGTAATCTGAGGAACCAGGTTCGAGTCCACTAGAGTCATGAAGCATGGAATGTTTTTCCGATAGCTGCGCCCCTCCGTGCAAGATAGGTTCTTGTGCGGAGAAAACTGGGCTCCGTCTTTCGGAAAGAGACGTTAAGCCGTTGGTCCAAAGGATTAAAGTGAGAGAAGAAGGATATTAGTAGTGGTAGTAGATTTATTGTTTTATAATTTTTAGAGTATGAATGCATTTAAGTCTGTATTTGAATCCGGCGCTATACTTTGATTTACGTTGTACTGTGCGTATATATCCTGTATCCTACCTATTCGTTTCCATATTACAATATAGATATTCACTTCCTTCTGTTCAATGGATCTGGTGTGTACGTTATTTCATCCCCGCTCACAACAGGTTATGGGCCCAGGGCAAATACCGAGTTAATCAAATTGCTTGTACGTGTGGCAAAGCACGTGTGGAGAAAGTAACGAGCGCTGAGCTAAGAAGGTTAGAAACACGAAATCCCGAACGCGAAAAACGGCACGAAATCTTGAGCGTGGGAAGACAAAGAAAGATGGCCACGTCCGTAAAAGATTCGGGAAGCTATAGTCTTGGACACATCGAAAAGTTAGTCGGCCGAGAAAATTACTCGTCCTGGAAGTTTGCGATGCGAGCATGCCTGGAAGCGGAAGATCTGTGGGGATGCGTTCTAGAAAAGCCGGAGTACGTCAATGATACAAAAAAGATGTCGAAGGCACGAGCGAAAATTATATTATCCATAAAGAAGCAGAACTATGGACACATACAAGACGCTGACACACCGAAGGAAGCATGGAACCGTCTGAAAAACGCCTTCGAGGATAAAGGCTTAACGAGGAAGGGTCTCTTGCGCAACCTGACGTCAACGAGGTTAGTGGATTGCGCATCTATAGAAGAGTATGTCAATCGTATTACGATTACCGCACATAGCCTGAAAGAGCTTGATTTTGAGGTTAAGGACGAGATGGTAGGCGCGCTATTATTATCTGGATTACCAGAGGAGTATAGGCCAATGATAATGGGCCTAGAGAGTTCCAGCACACCTATTACAACGGATTCGATGCGGACGAAGCTATTGCAAGAAGTTAAGTGCAAGGTTGAACAACAACAATTAAGGGACGGAAGCAGCACTATACGTTAAAGCAGAGAAGAAAACTGCAAAGGATAAAAATAAGCTGAGGAAGTGCTTTACATGTGGCAAACCAGGCCACTTAGCTGCAAAGTGTCGTTACAAACCAAAGAAGGATGCGGAAAATAAAACAGATTCGACCGATAAAGCATTTGCTACGTTTAGACAAGAAAATACCAAAATCAACGAATGGTATCTCGATTCGTGTGCGTCATCGCACATGACAGGGAATGCAATCTGTTTGAAGGAGGCAAAGAAGTGCGACAAGAAAGTAACTGCGGCAAATCATGGCGAGATGAGAGCAGAAGCGATCGGAACTGCAGAGATCACAACGCTGGACAAAGGAAGGAAGCAGCGAATCAGAATCGATGACGTTCTATACATACCGGGCTTAGCAGCCAACCTGTTATCAGCGCAGAAGATAGCGACAAAGAATCATCGAATCAAGATAACAAAGTTTGGTTGTTCGATCGCAGACTCAAATGGAAACTTGTTAGCTACAGCGAGTACGTACGGGGGCGTCTATAAGCTAAATCTGATGTCAGAACGGGTTTACGCTACGGTGGAAGAAACAAGACGAGGAAGCATCTGGCACCGAAGATTGGGTCATCCTGGAAAACGTGGAATGGAGCGTTTAGCCAAGGACCATGGAGACCAAATGAGAGACTTCGATAGAAACGAAGAAGCGTGCGATGTATGCGTACAAGGGAAAATTAGTAAGAAACCCTTCCCGTCTAGTGGTAAGCGAGCTAAAAATTTATTAGATTTAGTTCATTCAGATATTTGCGGTCCGATGTTGCGAGATTCAATAGGCGGAGCAAAATATTTTATTACATTTATAGACGACTATAGCAGAAAAAAGTTTGTATATTTTATTAAACACAAAAGTGAGGCATTCGAAGCATTTATTAAATTTAAGACATTCGCGGAAACACAAACCGAAAAAAGAATTAAAGCGTTAAAAACGGACAATGCGCGTGAATATATTAGTAAAGAATTTAAGATTGTATTGCATAAATATGGTATTGCACATCAAACTACTGTACCTTATAATCCACAGCAGAACGGGTTAGCAGAACGAGCAAATCGTAGCATTGTAGAGCGCGCGAGATGTCTGTTAATAGATGCAAGTCTTCCAAAGGAGTATTGGGCGGAAGCGACAGCGACGGCAGTATATTTACTGAATAGAAGTCCTGAGAGTATTCTGAGAGATAAAACAGCAGAAGAATTCTGGACAGGAAAACCGCCAAACGTAGAACATCTTCGAGTTTTCGGATGCAGAGCCTGGGTACACATTCCACGAGAGAGACGTGACAAATGGGATCCTAAGGCGAATGAGCTCACATTTGTTGGATACGAGGAACATACAAAAGGCTATAGACTTATTGATGTTAAGACGCGGAAAATTACTGTAAGTAGAGATGTAGTTTTTCGAGAGAAACAGAAAGTCGAAACTACAAAACAAAAAGAGATAGAAGACACGATAAATTACATTGTAAAGGAGAACTCGGAACTACAATCGCAAGAAGAAACGGGACACGATTGTGATAACGACACGATAGAAGATCCATCGGAAGATGACGTTTTCGAGGAAGCCTCTAACGAAGGAACACGAGAACAAGTAATATGCAGAGATAATGCGGAAGCAAACGCACAATTGTCAACAGGAACGACCTTGTGTAGATCACGAAAATGGAAACCGGTGACGAAACCGGATTACGTGTCATATTTGGTAATCGAAGAGAATTCAGA